ACCTCACACCAACTCAGTTTCTCCCCCAACAGCCCTGGAAGTGGCTTCCCCTCATTCCCACTTTCCAGATGCGGAAACGGAGGCACAGATGGGAAGCTTGGCCAAACCCAGTGAAGAAACCCTGAAGGCAGGATTGAACCCAGACCATCTGCAGGCAGACTGGTTCAAGGACTTCCCCTGCCACATTGTGACAAAAGCTTGTTCAGGGTGTATGTCCTGGGGGCAGTGTCTAGGGCGGAGGAGGGAACCCAGTGAAGAAACCCTGAAGGCAGGATTGAACCCAGACCATCTGCAGGCAGACTGGTTCAAGGACGTCCCCTGCCACATTGTGACAAAAGCTTGTTCAGGGTGTATGTCCTGGGGGCAGTGTCTAGGGCGGAGGAGGGAGCCCAGCAGGAGGCAGCGTGCACACTGCTGCTGGCACAGAAAGGTGAACACTCGCATGTGCCAGTCAGCCACAGCCCAGGGCTGTACCCTGGGCACCCAGGGTGAGTCCCCAGGCCCTGTCTGCAGAGCAAGCTGCTGGTTTTTCCTTCAGTGGTCTATTTGGGGCAGGGAGCTTAGGAAGCTGAAGGAGATGATGGAGGGTCAAAGTCTCCCCTCAGCACGTTGCTAGTGTTCTCCAACTGCAGGTGACCTCCTGGCGGGTGGTGAGATCAACTGGGGGACCCGATAAGCTTTTTTTTTTGGTGCTAGGGTTTGAACCGAGGGACACTTAACCACTGAGCCACATCCCCTGCCCTTTGTATTTTTCTATTTTGAGACAGGGTCTCAGGTTGCTCAGGGCCTCGCTAAATTGCTGAGACCAGCATTGAACTTGTGATCCTCCTGCCTCAGCCTCCTGAGCACTAGTCTTATAGGTGTGTGCCACCATGCCCAGCTCACAATTAGCATTTAAGATATTTGAAAAAAAACCCACAACAGTGACAGGATAGTGCTTTGTGAAACGTTCTCCACTTAGGGGGGGGGGATAACTAAAGGCTGTGAACCTCCAGTAGGCTCAGATACATCCCTTCATCCTTCACTCCTTACTTTCTTCCCTCTCCCTTCCCTCCTCCTCTCCCCAACCTGCCATCTCTTTCATTAACGATGAGATGTGGTCAAAAAAGTAAAGTCCCTGGCAGCGCTGTCTATAAACTCAGCCTGTGCTTCTGGATTTGCAGCTGGAGTTGGGGGAAGGAGCAGCCTAGGATGGGAAAAGGTATATCTCCTGCCATGTCACTTTTGTCCTTGTATGTGTGTGTTCGGGTGCACGTGTGTCACTGGAGACTGAACCCAGGAGCACTTTACCACTGAGCTACATCCCCAGCCCTTTG